TATCCTCATTGCAGATGCACTGGAAGAAGCCATAATCTACAGCGTCAACAAATCAATAAAATAACGTCATATATTGATGGTTCTGTTGTGTATGGTGAAAGTAAAAGCAGGAGTKATAAATTGAGAACCATGAAAGAAGGAAAAATGAAACTTTCTAGAGATGGCATCATTCCGGTAGGTACTTGACACACTCTTCAAGCGACGAATCTAGTAGTAGCAAATGCTGTAAAGGCCTTGTTACACTTCGCAATTTTCTCATCATCTTGCCTCGTAATCATACATGTTGGCAAAAAAGTAGTATCGCAGCTTTTATTGTTTTTGTTGGATGACCATTGCACGACGTAGAACTGGGTTTATTTTTGGACGCGCATTACAGCAACTTACAGCGCTTGCAAGGTATTACCTCCCAACCAATTTTCTGCGACATTTTTGAGAGACCTACTCTATAGTAGCATCTAGACAACCCCCGTTTCACTGCACACTATGAAATTATCGGGCAATTAATTCCGTGAAACCGTGGCGAGTCAAAGTTGCCGCAAAAATAGCATAGTGCAACAGTGCCAAAACTATTTTAATAGTTTTTCTTTAAAAAGAAAACTAAAGTTTTGTCAGGAAAACTGTGTTTGTAAATACTAGTTTTGGGCGCTATACTTAAGTAAAAGGGTGCAATTTTTTTAATCTTCGTGTTTATACTAACGTGAGGAAAGGAACATGGTTTTGCTTATTATGATCTAAAAGTCTCTGAAAGTCTTGATTAAGGTTTATGCTTGTTTACACAGTACAACGATATGGGCATTGCCAATGACAATGTAGTAGGCCGTACTCCATCAAGACTTCTTGTKGCTGGAGACACCCGTTCAAACGTGCAGCCAGGACTTATAGCACTYCATTCTTTATTTGTCAGAGAGCACAATAGGTTATGTGATGAGTACTTAAAGAAAAAACCTAAGGTAATATTATAGTTTTCAACCATTTACAAGATTTTAGGAAGGTACGAAAAGTAGCAATCAACTGTCTTGTCCTCCCATTAATGCATGGCTGACAATGGAGAGAATTACGACTGGGAACGAGTGAAAGGAAGTTGTTAAATCCATTGCTCGTTGCAACATTTTTTGTTCGAGAATCASTGCAAACCACGTAATGGACGAWTTGCACGATGGCTCACACAATTCCCAGACAGGAATCCTTTTATAATGTAAATAGTACCATGTTTCCTAATCTCCAAAGGGATTAAAAATCTTGATTAATAGAAAATATACGTAGAGCATTCTGAAAGTGGTAGTAAAATGGTGCCTTACTGCATATCGCCTACTGTCTTTTTTGTATTGCTTTAAGGGGAACGACGAAGAAGTGTTCCAATATGCTCGAAAAATAGTCATCGCTGAACTTCAAGCTATTACATTTCGTGAATATCTTCCAGCTCTACTCGGGAAGCCTCTACCAAAATATAAAGGATACAACAAAGATATAAATGTAGACGTAGCTAACACAATGGCCACAGCTGCTTTTAGGTAAGTCGTGCATGCTAGTCCTAATGAACCTGCTCTTTCGACCCCAATATTTGGGCTCCATCAGGGGGTGATATAAGATTTTGTCCAGGAAGGGCTGTTGGGCTCTCAGAAGGGGATTCAACTCTGGAGACAAAATAAGGGACAATATTGAGGATACTACGTCTCTCCAGCTGGATCTATCCATGTTTAGAAAGCCCGCTAGGATGCTTAGACGATCCGAAACGACTGTGGTTGACAAATATGGTAGATGTAAGAAAATTAAACCGGCCATCTATAAAATACACTTTGAAAAAGATTGGATTAGATAATAATTTACGGAGTTTCCTGGAAGGCAAGTTTCACCGTCTAAGCTATATCGTTGCCCTGAACCAATATGGTATCAAATTGGACATGAAATAAAATGAAACAAAATCTGAATAATACAAGAATTTAACTAAGACATTAGCTAATAGACCTAATATAAACTGACAGTACGTTGTGGTGTATGGTTCCGTACTTACTGATTCTAACGTTTAACTAGACCAACTCCGAATTTCACTCATTACACTTTCATCGTCAAAATTACCTTGTTTTTGATCTACGCGGTATTTTGCCTAATTTTAATGACAGTATGGTGTGATCTTAAAGGTTTGGYCACAGTCAAGTGGGAAGCCATATATGGAGATTGAATGAGAATGGTACAGTCAGTGAGTACGGTCATATTCCAGTCCGCGATTCRTATTTTGCACCAGAGCGCGTCACACAGGAAGGCGGAATTGAACCAATCTTACGGGGTGCTGTGCACCTTCCTTCTCAAGAAATAGATTTAAAGGTTAGAAAATTGTAGTGTCTTTCACGGGACCGTAAAAAAGCTGTTGGTGTGTAATAGCCCATTTATAATTGACTATTCTCAAAATTTCAGTACAGATAGGAATAGCTTCGTTCCTGGGAAAGAAAACATAAGGGATAGCCAATAGATTTATAGTAAGACTCGAGGTTAAGGGAGCTTGMACTGGGATTTTGATGGTTATTAGTAGTCAATACAGTTGAACAGGGTACAAAACCCTCGTTTGTATTGCAAAGCGATCAGTACAGTCACGACTGCAAAATTGGCAAATAGACTGCTGTATTCCAAATTAAGCAAGAAACCTTTCCATTATTCCAATCACTTGTGATTTTAACCACTTTCAGATGATAGACGATTTGCGCAACGTCCTGTTTCCCGTGGCGAGAATGCATGGCCTGGATCTAGCTGCTATGAATATTCAGCGAGGAAGAGATCACGGGCTCCCTGACTACAATACTGTACGCAAAACTATAGGYCTTCCAGGTATGTTGGGAATCGTAAAAAAAAAAACCTTTGGGCAAAGGTGCAACTTCTAGAATGCTGTATATTTTTTTCGTTCTTGTGAAAATGTGTCAGCCACACACGATGGATGAGAGACGGTTCAATGYGATATATTTAGTCCTAACCATACGCTGTCTTTTGAGATGTATCCAAATCCATATAGGTTTATATTTGTAGATCTCGTCATAGTTTGTAGAGGGAAATGGTTAGGAAGCCTTTTGTTGTAGGTTTTTGTGCACTTTTTTCCAAGCGTGACCGTGCACAATCTTTTGTTTAACTATTGTTTTAGCCATCCTGGTCACATCTGAATGAACATAGCGAAAATTAATCTTTTGGCAATTTCTTCAAAATGCACAAACCTTTTTGACCAATATTGAAATATTTCATTTCATAATCTCATAGAGAGTCTTTATGTTCACTCATTTTGCAATTTCCATCGTCCGTAAGAAAAAAGTTGTGCACGGTCTTGACTGATTCAACCTCAAAATACATACAAAAGATGTACAAAAGAAGTACAACAAAAGGTTTCCAAACCATTCCCCTCTATTAACTATGATCTCGTATAAATATGCTTTTGAAACCTTTCTTCAAGTATATGTTAAAGCACTTTCTAGTAGTTCAGTGACATTATTCATTAATTGCATTCACTATTTCTTTTAAATTCTTTTTGGGKTTAGGACTACGCGATTTCTCCGACCTTGTTAAGGACAAGCGCGTTTCCCGGGATCTCCAAGCTCTATATGGCAATGTGAACAACATCGATCTGTGGGTTGGAGGCCTAGCCGAGCAACATGAAGATGGAAGTGAACTTGGACCAACATTCAAAACGTAAGCTTTATATGTATCAACCAGTCCCCTCTTCAAAAGATTGCTTCTCATTGTATCCTGGTGCAACTTATTCCCCTTATGTTGTTGGTTGCTGGGTTGGAGTTGATGGGAGCCTGTACAATGGCAAATTTTTCACTGATTATTCCATTTTATCTTTTATATGCACTTTTTCTTTGTTTCTTTTGTTTCTGCACATGATTATTTATTTCCTGATCTTGAACTGGAATTTGCAATATGTCCTCATGCAGGATTTTGCAAAGAAATTATGTAGATGTGGATGTAGATGTCAACAACTTAGCAAGTGACTACTTTAGCCCGGATTGCTRWAAA